CATTTCCCTAATCCCAAAATAAACATAATACAAAAACATATCCTCAACATCAATTACACAGTGGCCATAGCTTTATTAGACAAAAAAATACATAACGCTGTGCGTACCTGGTGTGCTGGGCCCAAACCTTCCCAGCAACCCCCTGCCAAGTACAACGCCCGGCAACTTTGCTAAAAATGGAGGACAGGGCATAAGTACACGACTTTATAACCATTTAAGTAAAACTAAATTAAAACAACATTCAAAACTTGCCTCACCGATCGCCAGCTCCGCTACACACCAGAGACACTCACTTGGCGATCAGCCCCTGAAGTCACACCTGATGTGTCCGAACGTTCTGACCAAATGACAACTGGAAACATTATAGTTCTGGTATTAATACCTTCTCTTTATAAAACTTGAAACACAAAACAAAACAAAACATGTTTCCTTACCAGTTTTCCCAGACGCAAACAAACAAAACAGCCGGCATGGATGAGGGTGTACACCGTCCCTCTCCTTCCGGGTGGGAACAAAAACACCGCCTCTCTGTTCCTACCCCCCCTTTATACCCTCATGGAGAATAGCAGCGTCTCAGGTGCCACCAGTTACAATCATTTTCTTAATTATTAGTATTTTTGGGCTTTTATGCATTTATTTAGAGATAGGAGAGTGGATAGAGTTAGAAACAGGGGATAGAAAGAGAGAGAATTGGGAACGACTTACTAATCAGTGTTTCCCCTAGGTTTACAGCGTTGGGGGGGTGAGGACAAGCAGAAATGCCGACACGGCGACACAACGACACAAACACTTGAAGGAATCTTGGTGTTCATGTGTTACTTTTAATGACAGCTGTCCTTTTCTGTCGGAAAGGTATCCTTAAATGACTTCTTTCCCTGATTTCCAACTCTATCCACTATCCTATGCCTACAATAAAGGCCCAAAAAGCCCAAAAATAAATCTTAAAAAAAAAAATATATATATATATATATATATATATTTTTTTTTTACTTGACCTTCAGGGGGGGCGGGAGGGGCCGTAATATAATGGTAGGGTAAACACTGCTAATTCAGGACGGAGTTCCCTTCATGACATCACAAAGGGCAGTAACTCCTCCCCCAGGTGGGTGACACTCCCACAGCTAGGTGTTTGTTCTGCCCTCTGAGTCTGCCTTCTCACTGTAAACAATAGGACATGGAGCGAGAAAGACCGCTTCCCCAAAGAGTCAACAATAAAGAGCCTATAATCTTTATTCTAGGAGTACACCCAAGCCCTTTCAGAGAGGGGGCGTGGTCAGACACAGCTCATTTACATATTTAAAGGTACAGACACAGAAACAGCCTGTTCTGAGCAGGGCTGAAATAGAGGGGTTTATAGGCATGATCAAATACAGCATCAGAGTGGATTTAGAACAAGAAACTTCACACATGGGGGCAGAGGGGAGAGAAGGAAGAGAAGGGAGAGAGTTAAGCTTCCTGACAGCTTGGTGGAAGAAGCTGTTTCTCAGTCTGGTGGAGCCGGCCCGCAGGCTGCGGTACCGTCTCCCCGATGGCAGGAGGCTGAAGAGGCTGTGTGAGGGGTGGGTGGGGTCACGCACAATGCTGGTTGCTTTGTGGGTGAGGCGGGTACCGTAGAGGTCCAGAAGAGAGGGGAGTGGGACACCGATAATCCGTTCAGCAGCCTTCACTGTGCACTGCAGGGTCTTGCGGTTGGCAGCAGTGCAGCTCCCAAGCCACACAGTGATGCAGCTGGTCAGGATGCTCTCGATGGTGCCTCTGTAGAAGGAGCACATGATGGATGGGGGGGCTCGTGCTCTCTTCAGCTTGCGGAGGAAGTAGAGGCGCTGCTGGGACTTCTTGGCCAGTGATGTGGTGTTGGTTGTCCAGGAGAGATCCTCACTGATGTGAACCCCCAGGAACTTGGTGCTGCTCACTCTCTCCACAGCAGCACCGTCGATGGTCAGTGGGGGTTTAGGAGTGGGGACTCTCCGGAAGTCGACAACAACCTCCTTGGTCTTGTCGACGTTCAGGAAGAGGTTGTTGACTCTGCACTACGTGGCCAGTTGGCTGACCTCCATCCAGTAGTGTGTCTCATTGTTGTTGGAGATGAGACCAACCACTGTTGTGTCAACGGCGAACTTCACAATGTGGTTTCTGCTGAAGGATGGAGCGCAGTCGTGGGTCAGCAGTGTGAAGAGCAGGGGGCTGAGCACACAACCCTGGGGGGCCCCAGTGCTCATCACGGTGGTTTTTGATGTGTTGCCGCCGACCCGCACTGTCTAAGGCCTCTCGCTGAGGAAGTCCAGCAGCCAGTCGCACAGGGAAGTGCTGAGCCCCAGCTGGTCCAGTTTGCTGATCAGCTGCTGAGGAATGATGGTGTTGAATGCTGAACTGAATGAGGTGAGGGCTGGGTGAAGAGCAGAACAGATGGCATCCTCGGTGGATCTGTTACCTTGGTATGCAGACTGGCCATGACTAACCTTTCAAAGCACTTCATGACGATAGGGGTCAGTGCAACATAATATAATATATTCCTTTTAATTATTAGAGTAAGTAATTTGGCAGAAATATTTGAGTTCAACAAACATAACTGGAAGAAATTAGCTCTTTAGACAGATTAACAACTTCACATACACTTTACTGCCTGGCTTTACAAGTAGCACAGGCGCCATCTGCGGGTAAACTAAGAGTATTACAAGATGGCGTCCATAAACTGATTCATCATCATGTTGCAGAGTACGGTGAATTTATAATCTGCCGCTCTCCTCTCCGAACACACGCACGCTGGCAAACTGATCATGTATGTATGAGTATTTTATTCAGCCATTATACACATACAATCATTTTGAAACAATACAGACAGTTCAAACAGAGTCAACAGTCATGTGTTATGTAGCGACTGAAAAGGAAAAGGCAGAAGCAAAAAGCTTGAGATGCTTACGTCATCAACACGCAGGAGGAGCGTGAGCAATTAACAGGAAGGCCACCTACTGTCTGAGCCTTTTATACACTTATAATGTCAGGAAGAATAAGAACATTTCACAGCAGCACATGTTCTGATCATGTGTGTCTTGGCACAGTGAAAGACTAACCATCAATCATGGCATGGATGAACCACTTGTCGCTCCAAACGAGCAACAGCAGAAGAGCAGTTCAAGTTATGTTGGTAGAAAATTTGTGTAATGTAGCACCAAACCCAAACTTTTTTTTGTATGCTCATGCTGAAATGCAAAAATAAAGTGATTAAAGTTTCAAGTAACCATTAGAAAACCACTCAGTACTGGGTAGATATTGAGTACTTCTTCATCACATGTTGTAGAGTAGTGAATTATTATTTAACGGATAATGAAAGCTGGATAAACCACACAAATCTACCTGTTAACTAATGGTTACCTAGAGCCCTTTTCACATATACACTCTGGATTATATCTAGTGGTTAGTTTCCCATTCGTCTCCCAGTAAGTATGCAAAATGTGTGTACCTTATTGTAAAGTGTTACCCATGTATATTGTGACTTGTTGTATCTCTCCTGTTGATTTTCCATAACACACATTGTCTATATGCTGCATTCCTGTACTGACTCCGCCCCACTCCGGGCTCCGGCTCATCATTGATGGTGAATTGAAGTTTTGGGCTGAAACTTGGAATAAAAGGAAAACCGATGTTGAAAAACAAAAACCTCATACTCTGTCAGTGCAACAGGTTGATATTGACAGCATAAGACTTTCCCCAAAACACTTGTTTTTCGTTGTATATCTTCTTTTGAGTTATACATTATTCTCCTGCCTGTTTATTTTGGAGTCTGTGTGTGTGTGCCCCAACTGCTTGGGGCCCCAGACCAGTAGGGGCCCCTCAGGGCTCACAAATGTAAGCCAAAGCAGTGCCCCAAAATGACAGTAGGAAACCTCCCTAAGGGGGCCCCATCTGACAGCACTCACTGTTGTTGCCCTGCTAAGTGTCACATACATTATTGCTTTGAAAACCAAAATTTGTTTCTGAAAGTCAACAAAGTAAAATGAAGAGGAATAATCCCCAAGAGACTCTAGAATTACCACAGTGTGAGTGATGACGTCAGGAATGTGGTCAGAGCCGTTGACAGCTTGGTCGGAGGTAAGTTAATGATGATTCACACTCCGTCGATAAACACATTTTAAAGTATTTTTTTAGTTGTTTAGATGAAATCAAACTGTGGTTTTCAGTTACTGATCATATTCGATTCATCCCGTATCAGTTCTGAGGAGTTTTGAATAATATTCATAAAGTTATTCATTAGTCATGAAAGTTAACGGCTAATGTTCTGACTCTGGCTCTCCTAAATAACACGTTTTTTTTATTTATCAGGGGAGATGTTTGATCCCGGCTCACAACACAATTCATCGGTTTCTGTTAATTTGTCTGTAAATACAGAGCCAGAACACACGAGCTGTCTCCTGAGTCCTTTCCACAACCCAGAACACACGGGGTTACATCAGCAATGCACAAACAGACCGTTATATAACGTAACTTTCTACATAGGGTTGCAAACTGGTTATACTACTGCCTAACAAGTCTGTAATACGGCAGAATGAACATCCCTGCAGACATCATTTATTACAGATTGAGCTGTGTCATTACCAGTGATGTGATCATTGTCTCACGTTTAGCAGCTTTACTTTTGTCTCCAAAAAGTTTGTAACCTTACAAACTGATCTATGTAGCCATTTATCCACGACCTATAGTTGTCATGGTAACAGTTGAATAAACAAACTAGACAACGGGCTGCAGACACTCAGGCTCCATCAAAATCTGGTAATATTACAGTACCTTTTGAGTCTGCGTGGTTCCTCATCTTCTCACAGCGTCTCTGCCGGCTTCCTCACCCTTTGTTTGTCAACAAATGCACATGGTGTCAGAGGGGGAGGCGTGACCGTTTTTATGACACTGCAGTTGCACTCAGTGACCTCCTGATGGCGCCAAAGTGCACCAAAACTGACAACATATTGAGGCTTTGAGTTTTAATTTTTAAGAAAGGAAAGGAAAGTCACATAACATCCTGCTGATAAGGAAAGTGCCACGCCTCTATCACGGACATTTAAAGCTGCTGCTACTGCATCGTCACGTCATCCAGACTAGAGAGCTGAAGCTGGAGCGACTGTAACCAGAGAGCAACATCAAGAGGAAACATCTGCTCGACTAAGTCATCTTCAGAAAACGACTCAGAGGAAGAAACAGTAGAAAGATGAGGTGAGTATCTGACTTGCATACGAATGTTTACATGTTTTTAATTTATTAATTCCAAACCCTTTCCTTTTAGTCTTTTTCTTCCCTTTAGCTTCATTATTTTAGTGTTTCATAAATTTACTTTTCTCACTTTGTTGCTTTTGTGACTTTTTGTTTGTCTGGGGTAAAATAATAATAATACATTTTATTTATAAGTTTCAATTTCAAGACACTGTACATTTGTTAAAAAGACAGAAGGATCAGAACAGTAAGGACAGACTAACAGACACTGCAACATTACACACAAATCATTAATAAAACAACATGAAGGTGCAGCGACAGATTAACAGATCACACATCACAATCATAGATTAAAAGCTTATTTGGAGAGGTGAGTTTTGATTAGTGATTTGACAGGGGTGAGGGGTTCACTGGATCGGGTGTGGGTGAGACGGGGTGCAGCACAGTTCTGGATGTATTGGAGTTTATTAAGGACTTTGGATGATCATTTTTAGAAACAGAAGGGTATCAAGTGTATCACATTAAGCTAATATTAATAAAAACAAGTTAAAGATGGATTTTGATAAACTGTTGTCTGTCGGTGAGGTAGGATTTTAACCAGGAAAGAGCAGTGCCAGTGAATTTGAGTGAGTGTTCTATGCTGGATAGAAGCACCGCATTCAAGCAAGCTCAGTTCACCCCTCTGCTCAAAAAACCCACACTAAACCCAGCCCAGGTTGAAAACTACAGACCGCTTTCTCTTCTGCCCTTTCTGTCAAAAATACTTGAGCGCACAGTCTTTAAGCAAGTCTCTGAGTTCCTGTCCAGAAACGATCTTTTTGACCCAAATCAGTCACGCTTTAAGCGGGGCCACTCTACTGAAACTGCACTACTGTCAGTAACAGAATCGTCAGTCCTCAGTTCTATTACTGCTAGACCTGTCTGCTGCCTTTGACACAGTCAACCATCAAATCCTCCTATCCACGCTCTCTGAACTTGGCATCTCAGGATCTGCCCTCTGCTGGTTCGTGTCCTACCTCTCTGGGCGATCCTATAGAGCAGGGGTGTCCAAACTTTTTTTCTTGCAGGCCAAAATTGTCGTGTTAGAAACGCTCATGGGCCACAGGTTTTTTTTTTTAAATATAGTTGAAAAAATAGTAAGGCTTTGTAGATCAGAATCAAAAGAAACCCTTTCATAAAAGGGAATCAAATATTTGATTCCTACTTTATTAGTTTTTTTCTCAGAGCCTGTAACATGGTTCATTTAGCTCAGGTCATTAAATGGTTAAACAACAGTCCGCTTGTTTGCAAAAACTTTGCATATGTTTTTTTTTCATAGTTTACAAAAAAATGTGGAAAATAGTAAAATCTGTAGATTTAAAACAACAACATACATGTTACTGAACATTTTCTGTTTTAGGAATATTGTTCAGCGCTTGTTAACATGAAAAATAAGATAACGTGCCAATCTTAATCAATAAAATCTTCTGATTCTTCATTTGAAGTCACGGGTCAAATGGCCCTCGGGCCGCACTTTGGACACCCCTGCTATAGAGTGTCGTGGAAGGGAGAAGTGTCCAAAGCGCACAGCTTATCCACAGGGGTACCTCAAGGGTCAGTGCTTGGTCCCCTTCTCTTCTCCATATACACAAGCTCAATTGGTTCAATAATCCGCTCTCATGGCTTCTCATACCACTGCTATGCTGACGATACCCAGCTCTTCCTGTCATTCCCACCAGACGATGTTACAGTCTCTGCAAGAATCTCATCATGCTTGCTGATATCTCTAAATGGATGAATGAACAGCACCTTCAACTCAATCTTTCAGAGACTGAGCTCCTTATCATCCCAGCCAGTCCCTCTATGCAACCACAGATCAATATCCAGCTTGGAACAACCAAACTCATGCCCACAAAGTCTGCCCGGAACCTGGGTTTCATGATCGATGACCAGCTAACTTTTAAGGTTCATGTAGCTTCGATTGCCCTGTCATGTCGATTTGCCCTGTACAACATCAGGAAGATCAGACCTTACCTGTCAGAACACGCTACACAGCTCCTGGTACAGGTTCTTGTGATATCACGCATCGATTATTGCAACTCTCTACTGGCAGGTCTTCCTACATGCACTATCAAACCTCTGCAAATGATACAAAATGCAGCAGCACGACTGGTCTTCAACCTTCCCAAAAGAGCACATGTCACTCCGCTGTTCATCTCCTTACACTGGCTCCCAGTTACTGCTCGCATCAAATTTAAAACTCTGCTGCTCGCTTACAAAACAGTGACAAAAACGGCTCCTCCTTACTTTAACTCTCTCATCCAGGTCTACACTCCCTCCCCCCCACTACACTCTGCCAATAAAAGGCGTCTGATCCAACCTTCACAACAGGGTCCTAAGTCTCTGACTAGACTCTTCTCCTCTGTCGCCCCCCGGTGGTGGAATAAACTTCCAAACTCCATTTGATCTGCAGAGTCCCTCTGCACCTTTAAGAAAAAGCTAAAGACCCAGCTCTTTCATGAATACCTACTAACTTAATGATGATGGTTTCGATATCATTGATGATGACGGTTGTGACGATTGTTTTTGTTTGATAACCATGACTTATAAGATGGTTTCTATACTGATTAGAGCTCCCAAGAACTGCCGTCAATGTTGTGCTTTGCCTCTGGTCACTTCCTGTCAGCACCTGTGTGTCCAATCAGACTCAAAGCTGATCGTTTGCTCTTACTGACATTGTTCCCTTTTTTCTAGATCCTTGCTTATGTTGTACTTACTCTCTGATGTACGTCGCTTTGGATAAAAGCGTCTGTTAAGTGAATTGTAGAATTTTAGAATTGTAGAATACTGTGGCTGATGGTGTCAGGGGCTGCAGTGAAGAGGTGGATTGTGTAATGGAAAATGGATTTTGCTGATGTGTTAAAATAAAACTGTGACAGTTGCTGAAATATCGCTGCTCAGATTGCACCATGCCCATATCCTGTTTACCCTCTGAGGCCTCTGCGTAAACCTGCAGCCATGCTTTGAAGGAGGGGGATTGTGAAGATTTCCATGAGAGAAGGATCTTCCTGCGGGCAATCAAAGAGGCAAAAGCAATAACATTGTCCTGAGTGGTCGAGGTGACAAGGTCGTCAGGAGACCTCCCGAAAATAGCTATATGCAGGGATGGATTGATGTTTAGACCTAAAATGTCGGAGATGGGTTTAAAGAAGGATTGCCAATAATTAACTAATTTAGAACAGGACCAAAACATGTGAGTCAGGTTGCAAGGAGCCTGGGAGCATCTACCACAAGTTTCATCGATTGTATCTGGAAATATTCTGGAGAGTTTATATTTGCTGTAATGAAGTCTGTGGAGCACTTTAAACTGGATGAGAGACAGCCTAGCGCAGCTAGAAGATGAATTAACATTAAGAGCCTTTTTCCAGAAATCCTTAGAAAGGTTGATTTGTAGTTCGTTTTCCCAATCAGCCTTGATCTTATTTACCGCGGACTCGTTAGTTGTGAACAGGAGGTCATAAAGGTAGGAAACCTGACTTTTGGGCAAGACTCTTGCCTTGAGTGCCAGATCAATGCCACTGGGGTTTGGGACTTGAGGGAATGCCGGTGAGTGGGTCCTAGCAAAATTACGGAGCTGAAAATACCGAAAAAGGTCGGAGCTATTTAAATTGAATGCAGAACGTAATTGTTCGAAACTGGCAAAAACATCATTAACGTATAAGTCACCCAGACAGCGCAGGCCATTCCAATCCTAGCTGGTATAAAAAGATGATTATTACAGATGGGCATTGCTTTAGGGAGGGAAGGAGAGCAGGAGTCAGCCTCTAATCAGCACCAGCTGCACTGGGGTGAGATAAACCAAAGTATAATTTTGTGAACATTGGCTGCCAAATAGTAGCTGATAAAATTGGGTAGCCCAAGCCCTCCCACTGACCTGCTCCTCTGGAGTAAAGTTTTACCTGTTCTCGCAAATAAAAGAAGAAATAATGTTGTTTATAGATTTAATAAAGGATATATTCCTTATAATTATATCTCCCCCCCCCCCTTTTGATCCCTTTGAACCCTCAGACCAACTTTAAAGCAACTGATAACGGCTCAATGCGAACAACAGTGAGGAGAGCGGACAGCCTTGCCTAGTGCTGCGAAAAAGAGGAAATGGTTCTGAACACTGTGTGTTTGTACACACAGATGCGTAGGGGGAGGAGCAGAGTAGCTTAATCCAGGAGATGAAGCTGGCACTAAAACCGAACTGTTGCAAAGTGAAAAAGAGATAAGCCCACTCCACCCTGTTAAAGGCCTTCTCTGCTTCGAGAGATATTACAGCTTCAGGTTCCGTAGAAGAGGACGGGGTGTGAATGATACCGAGAAGCCTTCTGACATTAGAAAAAGAGTGCCTCCCCTTTATGAATCCTGTCTGATCTTCTGAGATTACTGTGGGCATAATAGACTCCAGGCGACGGGCTAGGACCTTAGCTAGAATTTTAACGTCAACAGAAAGGAGTGAAATTGGGCGATAGGATGCACAGCTTGCTGTGTCCTTGTCTTTCTTGTGAATGAGAGATATAGAAGCTTGCATGAGTGTGGGTGGCAAGGTGGCATGATTGGTTAAACATTTCAAGTAGGAGTGGAGCAAGCAGGTCAGAAAACCGTTTGAAAAACTCTACAGGATACCCGTCTGGGCCCGTTGAATTGCCGATGTGCATTGAGCAAATGGCCTCTTTGATTTCAGGAAGTGTGTCTGACTGTCATTAGGCAAAACTTTCGGTAACATTAATTTATCAAAGAAATTACATAATAGACTTTCATCGTTAGGGGACTTGGAGGTATACAGTTTAGAATAAAATGACCTAAATAAGTCGTTTATCTTATCTGGGTCAGAGGTTAGACAGCCTGACTCGTCTCGTGTCTGGGTGATCTGGTTGGAAGCCAATCTGGCCTTTAGTTGGTGGGCCAGAAGGCGACCCGCCTTGTCAGCATGTTCGTACATAGACCCACGAGAGCGGAGGAGGAGACATTCAGCTTCT